AGGTTGTAAATGAATTTACAGTAGCAATAACTCAGTTTGGTGCACAGCCATATTAAGTTAGCCATCAAAGTGGGCAAAAACTGACAGTGGAAGATGCATTTTGCTTCAAAATTTTCATACTCACATGTTTAGCAAAGGTATCATTCATTCTATTGAGGCCACCAACAAGATTGGTTGTGTCAAGCCAGTTAGGCATTCCATGTGATTCAAGATCCGTAGATGTTCTATATCATAGCCCCTAAGAAACCAGTCATATGCATCCATACTCCAATGAGGTCCCACCACCTTTTAACAGGCAGAAAACTTGAAAATTACTTTTGCCCAACTGAAACTTGCTTGCTAGAACATAGGACTTGAAAATCGAAAATATTAGGGAAAGGTTTTAAGGCATGTATCAATGGTAATATCTTTAAAGTTTTATTATATCAGTATTCGTATTGGTGTACAAAAGGATAATAATCGATAAATTATAAAATATAATAAAATTTAATGATTGACTATGTTTTATATTGACCAAATCAATTGTTAAGCACTCATTAGCATGTAATAACATTATCAAACTATTATAAAGTGTTTTTGTAACAAAATAGTATGAAAACAATTTAAAAAGTATTTGGAGAAAGAAAAAAGTGATTGTAAATTGTTTCTGTATATTTTTAGGAAATCAAAAAGTCTTATTTATAAACAAAAATATATATTTTTTATATAGACATAACATTTTGAATAAATATAAGTGTTTCAATAAATATAATAATTTGAACAACATAATTATTAGATTAGATATAACTATTCAAAAATCGTTCTTTTCGAAAATGTTGGATTTGAATTTTAGTGAGAGAAATTAAAGCTTAAAGTTTCAAGTTCAAAAATAAAACTCAATTCGTGAATCAATTAAAACCTTTAGATTTTATGTGTTCAAGTTCGATTTTATATCTGCAAGGCAAACAGGGGGGTTAAGATGTTGTATGAAGAAGTATTGACCTCTAAAAGCTTAGGGAAATCAAAATACAGAGAGGAGCAAAAGATCATTAATGAGAAGCTTATGACAAAGGTACAAAAGGAGCCGACTGGTATTAATGTTCATATTCCAGAAAATGACATGGAATGGGTCACACGTAATGTAGTTGCTTTAATGCAGGAAAACTTATCCATTAAACTAATACAATCTAGATTGTTTTATAAGGAAATCTCTATCTACATCAAAACTTTAGGCGGATTAAAAACTCTCATTACTTTTGGGGATGAACAAGAAATCAAAATACTCCTTAAAAACTACCCAGATATGTTCGATTCCCTTTCCCCTTTATTTACTTTGATGATGAGAAAGGGAAACTAAAATAGGTCAAAATTGAAAACCTCCCAATTCATCTCTAGTATAGAAAGGTGTTCAATGGAATTGGTAGATTATAAGGGAGGGTTATCAAAATTTGTAGCGCTATTACCAACCTTGAGCCCTTTGATTTCACCAGAATCCTCATCTTAGTGCGTGAGGGCATTAATATACCAGAAAAGGAAGAGATGGAGATTAATGGTCACAAGGCTACTCTGAAGTTTTCGAAAGAAGACAAGGTTTTCAAATCTTCGATGAAAGAGGTGTCACAAAGTAGTAGTGCACACAATAATAGTGAGTTGCTCAAGGCTAAATGTCATGAACCAACCTTGTACTAGACTATGATACGGTAGAGTTATCAATAAGATTAAGTCTTTTATACCTTTAAAAGAAATGACTCTCTTTCAAACAATGCAATAGCTCGTGGTGACACTTCTAAAAATACTTATTAAGTCTTTAGAGAAAAAACCCTTTAAGCGTTGTAATGGTTACTAGTAGAATACTTGTAAAATTTCGTAAACTCTTTATAAGAGGTGAATAGTCAACAAATTATTGGACTGCCTCACTGGTAAAGGTATGCTCGCAGTCAATCATCTAAGGTTGCCCTATGGCTCGACGATGGCATGTTTTGGTTCCTTTGTAATTCATTTCATATTAATAAAATATTTTTCTTTTTTATAACTCAGTGGTTGCATATATGGCATTCAGTATGCCTTTTGATTTTAATGTAGATTCTCTTAGTCTAATTTGCTATTATTATTATTATTGGATCAGATATAATCGAAAATTGGTTGACTTGCGTGGAAACGTCCACTCAAGTGCCACATGGACTATCCTATACTACTATAATTCTATACTAGTTAGTCTAGTAATACATAAAAAGATTGAAATGCGTCTAATAAATGTAGCTATAACATATTTATATTGCTCGCTTGATAATATTATTTATATGAAAATCTCTAAAGGATTTAAGCTACGTAAAACACAAAATTTAAATTCCTGAGAAATTTGTTAAATTAAATTAAATGAACCTTTATATAGGTTAAAGCAATCCAGACATATCAAGTATAATCGCATTAATGAATATTTATTGAAAAAAGGTTATAAAAATGATTTTATATGTCCATGTATTTTTATAAAAAAATTCAGATCTGAATTTGTGATAATTGCTATTTATGTTGATGATCTAAACATTATTAAAACTCTTAAAAAGTTATTAAAAGTCGTAGATTACTTAAAGAAAGAATTTGAGATGAAATACCTTAGAAAATCAAAGTTTTGTTTACGTATTCAGATTGAGCACTTGACAAATAAAATTCTTTTTCATCAATCAAATTACACAACGAAAGTATTAAAATAATTTTTATAGACAAAACATATCTATTGAGTTCACTAATGATTGTAAAGTTACTAGATACGAAAAACACCATTTCCGACCTCATGAGGATGATAAACTTTTGGTCCTAAAATATCATATCTTAAGGCAATTGGAGCACTAATCTATTTTGCTAGTAATATATGACTTGATATATTATTTACTATAAATTTATTAGCAAAATATAGTTCTTTTCCAACTCGAAGGCATTGGAATGGAATTAAACATATGTCTCGATATCTTCGAGAAACAATGGACATAGGCTTATATTACTCAAATGTATCAAAATCCACTTTAATTGGTTATGCAAATGTAGAATATTTATCTAATCCACACAAAGCTCGATTTCAAATAAGTTACTTATTCACATGTGAAGGTACAACTATTTCATAATGTTTTGGAAAACAAACTATGTTTGCTATTTCTTCTAAACTTGTAAAAATTTTAGTAATTCATAAGACAAGTTATAAATGTGTCTGGTTAAAATTTATAACTCAACGTATTTAGGAAATGTATAACTTGTCAACTAAAAAAGAAATTTCAATAACATTATATAAAGATAATACTACTTGCATAGCACAGTTAATGAAAAGATATATTGAAGGTGATCAAACAAAACATATTTTGTTAAAATTCTTCTTTACTCATGATCTTTAAAAAAAATGTGATATTACTGTTCAACAAATTTGTTCAAGTGATAATCTAGCAGATTTATTCACTAAAGTCCTTTCTAATACAACATTTGAATAGTTGGTACAAAAGATTGAAATATATTGTTTAAAAATTAAAATACATCATTTTAAAGATCTTAAATAATGTAATCATCAGGGGAATAAAATACATACTGTACTCTTTTCCTTCATTAAGGTTGTTCTCATTGGGTTTTTCTTGATAAAGTTTCTAATGAGTTAGTATTTTAAAAGCATATTCTTTGAAAGTATTATGTACTCTTTTTCTTTCACTCGAATTTTTTTCATGAGGTTTTTTCCATGAAAGGTTACAGCGAGGCGTATTCTTAATAAAATAGATATTCAAGAGGATTATTATGAACATATGTACAAATATCTATTTTGTTATGCATATCTAAATTGGATTAAGATTAAAATTTAATCTATTCATCTAATCTCTTAATATTATTTGTATTTTGTAAGTTCTATCTAGAAAATGGATTATTAATCTATAAAGAAGTCTCTCACTTCATTTGTAAATATACACTTTAATAAAATCTTCTTACTTTCTCTAAATACTTCCTTTATAATTATTTTTTTTATAATTGTTCTTTTAGTTTATATTTTGTAACAATAATATCATTCTTACCGATCAAAATCAGGTTTAAGGATTTCATGGAATTTCTCGAGAAGGTAATGAAGTCTCCCAACGACCGTTTGCTATGATGGCTGGTGAAAGAAGATGGTAAGGTACTGCTCCTCAATTTCTCCATCAGGACTCCCAGCCACTCAAATGTGAACCTCAAACTGCATCAAGTAATGTATGTGCTATATTTTACATGCTATCTCGACAATCTTATCTTCCTTTGTCCTTGGTTATACTTAACTATACACCAAATAGTAGAACTCCCACATGTCTAGGATACTTTGCATTTGGAAGAGTCATAGAAGCATGGCATGTGATTGCATTGACCCACAAAAACATACCTAGGCATAGATTGCTGGGTTGGAATTTTCTTCACTATCAAGTTAATATCCTTTCTTATTAGTCAAAAAAAATCTTATAAGAGAGCTGATTTGGGAAGGACAAATCATGTACGGTCAATCCTGGATCATTCTCAACCTTAGCTGACAATGCTTATGTTAAAAAGAACCAGGCTATCTGTTGAGCTTCACCAAGCTCGGCATACAGACTTTTGATTGCACCAAAGATGCGTAGGCCGTATGTAAAGGACAATATCCTGAGAAGATGCTCCTTATTGCTGGTTGGTCGGTTGTTGCAAACCTGCTTCTTTTGAACTGTCTTTCAGCTATCGTATTCCTAAGGAAAAGGACATCTAGATACATGCCAACATGCTACACAGAAATGAGCGGATGATCCTGATTGCATTTCACTGTAATGATTTCATTAGTGCGGAGAATGTTTCGGAAACCGGTTAAAGCACGCGAGATTCCTTTGAAGCTGGTTTGCGGGAAATTGATTTGCGTGTTCGTGCAAATTTTAAACTGGGTAACATGTAACCTTATTGGAAAAGGGTCGTCTATCTCCCATGCATATGGTAGGCCAATAGGGGCGCTGATCCCAGTTAGGCTTTGAGTCTAGGAGCAAAACGATGAATTCATTAATTGGTTAATTCAGAAAGTCATAATAATTAATTCACGATAAAAAAGGGTAGTTGGGGACGGTAGAAAACAGCTTCAAGAGCTACGCAACAGGCAGTAGAATCTAAGATGGATGAGTTTCTAAAGCATCAATGTAACCCTAGAAAATAAATACAGCAACCATTTAAAAGGCAGTACAGATTATAGGAAAAGCAAAGTTTAGTTTCAACAAGAAGAAAACTCACGGAAAACAACAGTTTCTTTGTTATCTTAGTACTTAGATACTAATGAGGCTGCCAACATGAACAACCATTTTAAACCAGTTCGGGGCTCCTTCAAATGTAAGATCCTTGAACGTTTCATGCACTGGATCATAGAGAACAAGTGCATTGCTTCTATGCTCTAGTAAGATCTCACCACTTCTGAAGCAGCATATGGCTCGAAAAACTGATCTAGGGGAATGGATCCTTGCATTCATCCTCTGTAATTCTTTTGGCAGGTAACCTCCAATGCTAAATTCTTTGATCCAAGACTCTTTAATATTATATTCCTTCATAACCCAAATCTCTAATCCCCCACTAGCATTGGAAGCGGCTGCAGAGAGATGACCTCGAAGATTAATCAGTTCATAAAAACCCCTGTTAAAGCTCCTGCAATCAGGCTTAGAGACCTCCTGGAATGTCTCAGCTGCTAAATCAAGCGATATGAACTGGTTATCAATGTTGTATTTTCCAAGTTGAGAGATCCAATGAAGTCTCCCACTGACCATAACTTGTGATGGTTGCCGAATAAATCTGTAAGGTACCATCCCTAAACTTCTCCATCTGGAGCCACCAAGAGTTAAAATTCGAACCTCAGCTTGAAATGGATTAGACACAGCAACACGGGGCCTAACTCCAGGCCTTTTTCTTCGATAAACTATCTCAACCAGTTTATATTCTTTTGTGGTTGGACTGAAACCAAATCCTAAAATTCCCACTTCTCCTGGACCCTTCGACAATTTTGGCAGCTCTATCGAATCCTTGGTTAAAGGATTGCAAATGTGGATTCGTGCAGCATTGCAGAAGCATAGCAGGCCATTACACGAACCTACCAAATTAGCATGCTTTGCTGAAAAAGAAATTTTCTTTAAGATCTTGTTTCCTTCAGGGTAAGCAGCAAAATCTACAAAGTAGTACTGGTTTTGGATGGGCCAATGACTTTGAAAGATGATGCCTGGATCATAATCAGACGTGTGCGATAAATGCTTATTAGCAAGTAGTGAGCCTTGTATCATGCTTCTCCAGGAATGGCATACAGACTTTGATTGCACCAAAGATGTTATAGGAAGCCTAGATAGTATGTCAAGGACAACATCCTGTGGAAGACACTCCATCCTTCTAGTTGGTCTGCATTACAAGTTTGTTCTTTCTTTAAACTGTTTTTAAGAAAAGTAAGTACATTAATAAGCAGAAACTTAGAAGGCACAATATCAGTAAAGGGCTTGGTGATCAATAGTTAAACATACTGCACTTGGACAACATCAACCTATTGATTAAACAGAAAAACGTAATGAGCAATGACATAGTGGTACTGTATGGAAGTATGGAATTCACCAAAGAAACATCTCATTGTAAAATATTTGCCTTCTCAAGTTATGGAATCAAGCAAAATAATAAATCGGTCATTACAGCTATCCCTTGTATTAAAAAATGAAAATAAAAACAATATGGAAATAAAATAACAATGTCACTATTTATACCTACTTGAAACTAAAAAATGTTATTCACATGTCTTACTTTATAACATGGCCTAGATCATCTTCGGATCATATGAATACCTTTCTAAGTACTGTTGCTCCTTACCACTCATATATGGTGCATTCTTCACATCTAGCAATGCTTATTTTCACATCTGAGTGTTTTTAAAACTACAATCTCAGACCATACCCAAAAAACAACCAGAAAACCGTCTCCCCTTTTGAAATAATTAAATAAAACAAAATACCCAACTCGATCACCCTCCCTTAACGAGTAATATACCATTTGACACAAAGATATCTGTCATCGGGATTATTAGCACACCAAGGAAGGGAATGCCAATTATTTGCACCTAACGTCTGGCAGACTGAGCTACTAGTTTTTCTACTCATGCGGCTTTTGGTCTCACCCCTTACAAACAAAAAAGATTGTCAGCATCTGATCAAAGACCCTTTTGACTGACTCTAAGTTGGAAAATTATGTCAAGTAGTTGATCAACATGTTCAGCAGCTGAAACCCCTTCACTAGCTCGATCATTCACAAAAAGAATTCAGCTTATCTAAACCCAGTTTTAATACAGAAAATAAAACGTAATAAACAAATTCCAAAGACAAACTAAAAAAAGCTATCGAATAATCAACATGGTGAAGATCAGTTAGAACAGAAGGAAATTGATTTCATATGGTCAACGTACCTATTTGGAGAACATATTCCACGATTGGAACAAGGCAATGAATTTCAACAGGAATTAAGATTTCTTTGCCTAAGTAGAGTTTTGTTCCTAGGGGGGTGCGCTTTTCTCTGTTCTGTTCTAAAAACTTAAGACTTGTACATCTGTTTTGTTCCATTTTCGGTATTTCCCAGGCGAGGTGGAGCCACGCCAGATGTTCAGCAATTCTGTCTTCTTTCGTTCCCAAAGATGGAAAGAGAAATGGTGGGTGGGTGGTGGAAGAAACTGGGCCATGAGGGTAACCCATTTTGACCCAATCAAAATAGGAAACGAAACTACACAGAGTAGTGCCTTTTCGGCCTAGAAGCATAACTGAAGTTTAGGTGAAGTCAATGAAAATTTTCAATCATAGTATTAGTCTACAAAAGAAGAGACAAACAATTGGAGTTATACATTGCCCTTAAATTACCTGTTATCTTGAAGAAAACAATTGCAATAGTAAGTTTTATCATTATTATTATATTTAAACCTTTATTTCAACCAGTTATGACAAAATATATTTTATCATTAGTAATCATAGAACGAATTTAATTTTCCATATAAATATAACTTTTTAATCAATTTTTGGTGCACCTCAATCGATTTAATTGAATATGTTATTTTGTCTTAAATAAAGTAAACAAAAGAAAGAAAGAGAAGAAAAGATATTCATCAATGCATAGGATATGATTATCAAAATTGTTTACTTAATTTCTATTGAAAATTTAACTAAATCACTTGATTAGGAAGTTAAATCCATTGGCTTAACCCCTTTGGGATAAGGAGAATTCCAGTAAGATGGATTGTTTTAGTTTTTAACCACTTGGTCATAAACCTATTGGTTTATTTTAGGAAGTTAAATGATTTGAATTTGAAAATAAATTAAAATTATGACAATGTGTGAATAATAAAAACTTCTAGTACAAAAGTTTAATCCCTTCTACTTGGCTTATTTTGTTATATCCATGGATTTGTGGAGTAACTATTCCCAAATTGATGGTGCCAACTTGCCGTTCACATCCTCCACAAATCCATGCATATAACAAAAGGAAAAGAATGTTTCTTTTTTCTTTTATGATTTCGCCTTTCAGGTATTGATGAAGGTATTAATCCAATTGAGGCTTGCAACATGAACAACTACTTTGAAATAGTTTGAAATTCCTTCAAATGTAAGATGAAGATCCTTGAATGTTCTGCAATGGGGATCATAGAGAACAAGTGCTCTATTTCTGCACTCCAACAAGATCTCCCCACTTCTCAAAAGGCATAAGACTCGCATGCATTTTTTATTCATATAAAACCTTGAATTGTTGAAAGATTCATCTTGCTGCAAAATTGGTGGCACGTAAGCTCCAATGCTAAATTCTTTGCTCCAAGACTCCTTGACATTATATTCCTTCATAACCCAAATCTCCAACTGTTCATAATCATCCTGATAAGAAGCTGAGGAGAGACAACCTCGTAGAGCCACAATTTGCTCAAATCGCCTGTTGGCTAAGCTAATGCAATCAGGCCTAGGGACCTCCTGGAATTGCTCAGTTGCCAGGTCAAAGGATATAATAGGGTTTTTTGTTTCATTTCTGTTAGGATAAGCAACCCAATGCAGTTTCCCATTGATTAGAACCTGAGATTGCTGCGACATCATCAACTGGAATGGCACGGTTCCTAAATTTCTCCATGTGGGGCTACCAAGAGTTAAAATATGAACCGCCGCTTCAATTGAAGCAGAAGCACTAATCGGAGCTCGAACGATATAATTAGTAGATCGAGGAAAACGTGGAAAGGAGCCTCCACAAGTTCTTATTTGATATGATATCTCGACAACCTTGTATTCCTTTGTGGTAAGATCGAAACCAAATCCTTGCACTCCCACATTATAACTAGGGTGCTTTGTTAGCTTTGGCAACTCTGTATAATCCCGCGTAAAAGGATTATAAATGCAAATTTCAAAGCTTTGGTGAGAGGTATGCAAGCATAGCAATCCATTACATGATCCTACCACATGGAATTTAGGCAGCGGCGGTATAGCAAGTTTCTTCATGATCACGTTTCCATCGTTTTGACTAGAGAAATCTCCAAAATAAAGCTGGTTTTGCATGGGGTTATAGCTTTGTAAAATGAAGCTTGGATCATTCTGAATCATGCGCCAGAAATGCTTGTTGACAAGCACTCGATCTCGTATCAAGCCACGCCAGGCTCGACACACGGACTTGGATTGCACTAAACTTGGAATGGGAAGCCTGGATAGTATGTCGACGACAATCTCCTGAGGAAGACGCTCCATTTTGCTAATCGGTTGTCGCGGTTTTGTTCACTGCTAGAGAGTTCATGAAGTATTAGCTAGAGAATTAATATAAAGATAATTACATTGTATTTCCAAAGATGGCTTGGCGATCAAAACGAGGTTTAAGCTGTATACGTACAACACATTTTGGTAAGAATCAAACTAATAATAACTAGTAATAAACAGAAAAGCCAAAAACAGCATAGTGAAATGGTGCTAGATACGAGCTACTAAAGCACATCATAAGGCAATTGTCGGTATGTAATGCACCAATTATGAGCCGTCTGCGGTTCGGGCGGCTGGACTAGGACCGCGCAAGCCTATATATCCCTCGTTTTGATTTTATTGGTTATATGTAATAACTTTTAAAATTATTATTCTATGCATGTTAGTAAAGTATTAAATTCAATAACTAAATTTAAGTCATTGTCACCTGTTCATTTGTTAATTTTTGTCTTCATTTAGCAAATTTATACAATTTATTAAATTGCTAAATTATAATCTAATGAACATATGTAACAGTTTTATAAATTCGTTTATGGAATTTATGATTTTGAATGCATGGATAAGATAATATTTTTATTTTTGAATTTTTTCAGACTTGAAATATTATTTATTTAATTTTATTTAAATTTTAAAATAATTAATATTAAATATATTATTAACCGCAAATTACAGACAAGTGTAACATCAATTCGGTCTTAAGGCTTACTCGAGGGCCTTGCTGTGTGGACAAAATACGGGCTGCTTTTGGGCCCTTATTTTTGTAACTTGGTTTGAACTTTGTGAAATCATTTTGTTCTTTCTCTTACCCATTATTCAGCTTATTAACGAAGAATGTAAGGAAGTTTTTTAACTTCGTAATTGGATTTATACAATTGTCACGTATTTATGTTATAAAATAGTAATTTTTTTTAAAATACATGATAAATAGACACGTGTTCAATTTTTAAAAATTGTTTGTGGGGGTTGAAAAACTCCATTATCAATGTATTGGATAATAATCTTATTATTTTTCTTCTCCCTTCGGTAAACCTTTTCTTTTGGGTGTTGAAATGAATTAGGTTGCTCATGTAAATGTTAAATACTCTTTTTTCACCTTTGCTTATATAATTTCCTATTGTTTGATCGCAAAATTGGGCTTCTGGTTCTTTATATTTTCTTTGGGTGGATGTGAGATGTCACAAGTCAGAATTTAAACCCAGTTTCATGTAATATTAAATTCTAAAAATAGAATTTAAATAAATTTATAAATTATAATTCATATTTTCAATCAAAAAGACATATCTATAATTGTGCAACGTCCTCACTGCACTAGCTCTTCTCCTGTAAAGGAGAGAGACTTTTATATCAATCTAGATCTAGCTTGACCATTGTATCTCTCATGGGGCTCACATTAGTGAAGATTTAAGTTTATTTTAATACTAAATGTTACGAGTCAGAACTAGCTCTTTACCTGTAAAGGAGAGAGACTTTTATATCAGTCTAGATCTAGCTTGACCATTGTATCTCTCATGGGACCCACATTAAGTGAAGATTTAAGTTTATTTTAATACTAAATGTTACGAGTCAGAATTTTAAATTTTGAAAATAGAGTTTAAGTAAACTCATAAATCACATACTATATTTCTAACTCAAAAGAAATGCTTGAAAAGTGTTGAAAAACTTATATTTATATACCTAAGATTCACATCATCTCTTATTGATGTGGAATTCATGACATGAGAGGAATAAACGATATAAAAAAAGCTGACAATAATAACATTTACAGCAAAAGAATAACAAGAACATTCCCATATTAAAAACAATTCACATAGAAAAATATCAAGAAAACATTGAAATTAAACCATGAATTAAGATTAATATTTAGAAAACAACTTAAATGAAAGGAGCAGCAAAACATATGCATCTTTTCTCTCTTTTCTTTCTTTCTTTTTTTTTATTTTTAACAGAAGAAGTGCAAAAAAGTGTATATATGTCATCAATCATATTTCTTTTCTTTAAAGGAAATGATTCTATGAAATGGTTACTCAATGTCAAAATATGCCATTTCTATTCAAATCCTGCCACATTAGCTTGTTCTAAAAAAAATTAACTATTTATAGTACAACAATCATTTATGAGTCTATATATTGAAATAAATACTGTTTTTTTTACTTATAAAGGAGAGATTTTAACTTTTTTATTTGAGTATAATGATCATGCATCCACTATTAGTTGAGCTAAACATCATGATACTTAATAAAATAAATATTTAAGTTTTTTAATTACATATTTACATATCATGATTTAATTCGAAGAGATATATACAGAGGAGGAATAATCAATTCATAAAAGCTTTTTTTTTTTAATACAAATGAAAGTCCATTGTCCAAGGTTTAACTAGAAAATCTTCTTCAAATTTAAATGTCCAAGATTGTTACCGACAAGTTGTCTCTGTTTAATTGGCTAGTGCAAGATCCTAATTAAATGATATGACATGATTCTAATATCTTAACCTAAGACATGACATGATCCTAACACAGGTTAATTAATTTTGACCAGCTTTTGACACGATTCTGACACAGGCTAATCTGATGACAAAATTATTAACGTCGTATCTATGGTATAAATCTCTTTTAGAACAGACTCAATTTAGGGTAGAGCAAGGTATGGCGCAACCCTTTTTTCGTAGCTGACGTAATTTAGGACTTTATCATATGCCGTGATCACATGGCTCTCTATATATACTGGGATTATCCTATTCCAAGGTGCATGCTAGCATGAGTTATGACATGACTCCATTTTTGGACTATAAATACTAACTCATAGATGACTTTAGCTTGACTACTGGTTAGCTACTTATCTTGTTTAGGTTGTAGTCTTTGACAAACGAAAGCCAAGAGAGCCAACATAAGTGTTTCTGGTAGTGAATTCGAGCGCCTAAAAGTTTCGGTTTTTCTTTTTCTTTTGTCTCTGTTTATTTATTCAGCTTAAGCACGTTGGTTTGGCTCCATAAATGCCCTTTCATTGCACTTTCTGAGTAACTGCAAAATTACCGCTTCAGGTGCTTTTGTAGTTGCCAAACGCACAAAATATCTATTTTTTATTTTTTTTAATTACAAATCACCTCTTTAAGTATTTAAATGTTTTGAATGTAAAATAAAATTTTAATGTACTTCAAAAATAGAATTTCCAATAGATTTGATTGATATTATGTTAGTGAGATTGGGTGCTCCTAAAAATTTAAGTGGTGAATGGGTAAAATACCTCAACTCCATAAGTTTTAATCAAAAATCTAAATAGTCAATTAGTTTTCGAAATAAACACTTCGTTTCAAAAAAATATTTTTCATTGGACATATAAGTAGTGTTTGGTATGAAAGAAATTAGAATACATTCCCTTCAACTTTGTATTCAAAACCAATACAATCACGTTACATTGCACTTTGTAATACTATTAAAGATATTTTTTCCCTTCCACTTTATTATTTTGTTAAAAATATTTTATAATATTATAATTAAAATTAAAAATATTAAAATAAAATATATAATATAAAAATTAAAATAAAATAAAAGAAATTAAAATTTATATATTTAGGTAAAAGAAATTAAAATAAAATATATAATATAAAAAATAATATTAACAAAATAAAAATAAAATATATAAGATTATAATAAAAAATAAAAATAAAATATATGACATTAAAAATATATTTAAGAGATGCTAATATATAAACATTGACAATTGCATTTCAATAAATAGGAGTAATTTTAAAAATTAACATTACATTCTCAACAAAGTACTTGTAAACCAAATTCTGCAATATTATCTTTCTTATATTTTAATCATTATTTTACTTGTATACTAAATACTGTAATGTTATTTTCTCTACAATCATATTACCTGTAATCACATTGCATTGTAAAGTACCAAACGCGATCATAGATCCAAACTGTTAATCAACTATTAGTGTTTCCATTAACTTGATGATGTGGTAATATAGAAAAAATAATTTTATCGTTTATTAATTTTAAAAATTATTATTATATAATTTATTTATTTTTTTATTCATTTTGTTTTAAAAAGGGGAGCACTTGTTTCCCTTCCTTTGGGAGTTGGGGAACACCTCTTAAAGGAGCTAGGAAGCACTTCTCAAAACAAATTATATAATAATAATTTTATAAATTAATAAAAAAAGATATTTTAATCTTTTTATATTATCTATTAAAGGTATTTGCATTTTTGGGATAGAATATCCATTTCAAAACCTAATGAACTTGTTTAAAATTTTGATTAAAACTTAAAAAGAGTGGAGATAATTTATTTTATTTTTTTGTTCAATCAAAGAATGGATTTTATATATCACTGGTAAAATAAACGATGAGGGCACAGCCACCCATATATAGTTTAGTACAAAGCCAAGATAATGGGCATGTGGACAACCTACCTGGAAGATATAATCAAATACCATTACATATGGCTAATACCGTTTGACTTAAATATAAGAAGGCCAAAGATATATGAAAAGAAAAAAACATGGAGTAAATAAAAACAAAACAGCATCATATAGCAGCAATCACCACCAAGTTGAGAACATACTTTGTTTATCAACACTAAACTTGGCAAGAGCATTACCGAAGGAATTACCCTTTCAAAGTGTTTGCACAAATACTATGTAGCTAATCGATTGAATTAACACGTTTTATTTCATGATAGATTGTCCATTTATCCCAAGATCTTTTCTCAACATTATGCACTTATGAAATAGTCACTATCGAATCTGATTCAACAATAAGATTATGTTTGATATTTTACTGGGATATGATTACTGGTAATATGATTGTTTGGAATGTGATTGTTGAGAAGATAACCTTGTAACGTTTGGTATAATATGAAAAAGTGATGATTGTAAAGAATGCGATTGCATTGTAATGTTTGATTTAAAAGCACTTTATTAGGAATGTAAGATAGATTTACAAAATTATCTTTATGTATAAAAATATAAAGTTGAATAACCT